CGTTGTCAGTGTGAGTTCTGCTGCTGCTGGCTCCTCATCACCTGCTGCTGCTGCTGCTGCTGCTGCAGCTTGATAGGCGGATGGGCTATCCTCATTGTGGCGAATATGCGGCTACGCTGCTGCTGCGAGTTGCTGCTGCTTGGCCGCGTGGAGCTGCAGCAACCAGCAAGTAAGAAGCCTTTATGCGGCGCTCCCCATCGACAACTGCAGCAACAACTGCATGCTGCTGCTGCTGCTGCTGCGGCTGCTGCTGCTGTTTCACTGGCTGCTGCTGCTGCTGCTGCTGCAGCGTAAGACGCAAGAAAATAGTTGCAGTGTTGCTGTCGCCAACAGCAGCAGCACGCGACTGCTGCTGCTGCGACTTTGCTGCACCAGAAGCAGCAGCAGCAGCAGCAGCAGCAGCAGCAGCAGCAGCACCTGTGCTCGCACCGCAGTGCAGCAGCTGCTGCAGCGCGTCGATTGCCTCCGTCGCCAGAACACTGGTAGGATGAGCCGCAGCAGCAACAGCAGCAGCAGCAGCAGATGGCGGAGCAGCAGCAGCAGCAGCAGCAGCAGAAGCAGCAGCAGCAGCTGCTGCTGCTTCTGTAGGCACACACCAGTCTGAGGCCCCCACTTCTGCTGCTGGCAGCACCGCTGCTCCTGCTGCTGCTGCTTGCTGCGCGAATCTTACACAGAAAGCTAGGCGTCGCAGCAGCGGCAGCAGCAGCAGCAGATCAGCAACGCTTGCTGCTGCTGCTTCCTGCAGCAGCTGCTGCAGCTGCGGCGGCAGCCACAAACACTGCAGCAGCACAGCCCCCCTAACCAGAGAAATACAGAGATCGCAGTGGAGACCAAAATACACCAATCGAAGACAAGTTCTACCATCAAGCAACTGCTGCTGCTGCTGCTGCTGCTGCTGCTGCTGCTGCTGCTGCTGGTGAGGTGCAGCAGCAGGCAGGGGTATCTGCGCGCCGTTGACGATGATTTGTAGGGAGTCGGGTGCAGCAGCAGCAGCAAGAGCAGCAGCAGGAGGGGGCGGTGCTGCTGTTGCTGCAGTTGCTGCAGTTGCAGCAGCAGCAGCAGCAGCAGCAGCAGAACCCGGGGGAGCCAGATAGAAAGCAAGCGTCAGCAGCTGCAGCAGCCCCAGTGCTGCTGCTGCATCAGCTAGCCACTGCTGCAGCTGCAGGTTGTCTCCGCTCCATCTCTCAAGCCGCGGCCAGCAGCTTTGCTGCTGCAGCACACGCAGTGCAAACATATCTGCTG